TATAATAGTTATTTAATGTAAGACTAGGCAATATAAATTAAATAATGCAAAAAAAAATTTTTTTTAAACTAAGCTCAAAAAAAAAATATGAATAGACTCAAACAAAACGATGAACAATGTTTAACTGAAAAATTTCGATACAATAAAAGAGAAATATCTTAATTTCAAGATAAAGGAAGAAAAAAAAATCAATTTTCGTTCTAAAAAAAAAAAGACAGAAGCTACAAGGAGTTGTAATTCCTCTCGAAAGAAGATTCCTAATAATATCTGATAAACTAAAACTACTTTCCATTTAAAACAGTTCCGACAAGCAGTCAGTCAACAGGCCATTGGATTGGTGGGTCGGTTGCCAAGGGAACAGTTCAACCAACCAATCATAAGCCGGTAGACAAGCTACACTCGTTGTAAGTAGGGGGAGGGGGGGAAAGCAAATTTCGTAGGTAGAAAGGGAAATGGCCGATGTAAAATAAAATACACCAACAAAATAACCAAAACCGGTCTCACGTTAACACGAAAAAATAATAATAAAAATAAAATAATAATGATGATAATATAGCTGAAGGAAATAAAGAAAAAAATCTTATGGGGTGTAGTGTTGTGTGTAGGTCATTGTCATGGCCTCTTGTCTTCTCTTTTATCATTGATTGATCAAACCAATAGTTTGTTGGGTCACAAATTAACATTGTTTGGATTTTTTTTATTTGGCGAGATATCGCCAATTTTCGAGACAATAAGTATTAAATTAATTTTTACGTTATTTTAAAAAAATAAACACTTTTTTTTTATATATAGAAATTATTAAATTGCTTAGCAACCTAGCGATAAAAATGGATTTAATATTCCTTTACTTTTGCTGACGAGAAAAAAAAATTATGAATTTGAGTTATGTTTCCACAAAATAATAATGATAATAAAAAGACTTGAAAGAAAAGAATTTAATTAATTTCTTTTGGAAACAAAAATAAATACGATGCAATTATGCATTGCTTTGATACAAATTTGCTTTTTCTATAATTTTTCAATTGTACACAATTCGTCAACTGCAAAAAATGTTATGTTAGACCTGAAAAATCATGCATTATTCACTTTTATTTTTAAAAAGATTATTAGGTTTTAAATACACGTTTAGAAGAGAATCGCAATAACTTTTTAATTCAAATTTTATTATTTCGAGTTTTAAATGAAAAAAAATAACAAAAATCTGATTTTAAAAATAAAATAATCACAAGAATAACCGTTTTTGCAAGAATACACACTTTAGATCTACAAGTAAACCAACAGAAATTTAAGAAATATCTTTTTCATTAAAAAAGGAAAACGCCCAACGTGGGGCTCGAACCCACGACCCCGAGATTAAGAGTCTCGTGCTCTACCGACTGAGCTAGCCGGGCACATGCATCTAGAGATGATAAAAGTTTGATATAGGCTTATCTAAAAAAAATAATCCTTAAAACGAAGTAACAGTTTTAAAAAATGGACAGATTTCCATTTAAGATAATTCAACATGTTTAATAGGAATGTGAATTATAGAGTTCAATTGAAATTATTCTTTCTGCTAAGTCAACATATTTCAGAAATTAAATTTGAATGCGTTATTTGGCGCAACAATATGTTAACAAATGAAATAAAAGTTACCTTATAGTTGTTGTTGAAATAAAACTACCTTACTATAAATCGGGTAATATCGAACTTGAGGAAAATTTAGAAATAATTATCCTGGGAAAATGATGACAAATGAAATACGACAAATGAAAACATCAATGAAAACAAGTTTAACACATTTAACCTATTCACTTAAAAACACAATTTGAGTGACGCCTAAACACTGCTTGAAAACGCCCGCACGTGCAAAAGACTCAGAAAAAAATAATAATAATAATAAAAAAGAAATTTGCAGGTGTGTAAATAATATTTCGCTCACGCATTTTTATATTCATTGAAGGTCAAAACTACTTAAATTTGTTTTCTTACAAAACTTGATCTCTCATTTAAGAATATATATTTTCTCTGAATTTTCAATTCGCACGTTTAAACTGAAGATAACAAATTAATTATTATAATTAATATAAAAATACAAAATGTCCTACGGGTATACATTTTTAAACGCTATATTAACATGACTTATGATTTTCTTTTAATGAAAATTTTGTTTAAAAAACACTAAGGTTTATAAAAAAAATTGTGTTAAAGTTTAGTTGCTTTAGTAGAAATACAAAGAATTCTTCAAAAATGGGACATGTAATACCTCTTTGATTAAAAAAACGTTTTATAAATCAATAAAGGCATTATCAAGATATAGTTCTAGTTCTGGAATCTGAAAAATAACTTTATCTGAAATAGTTATCTAAATAAAATTTGCTTTTTAGCACTAGAATCATTATAAATAACTGTAAGATTATTATGCTTTTTCAGACCTGGTATATATTTTTTAAAATTTCGCTAAAAACTAATTTTGTGTTCGATTCTTTACTCATAAAAATTTGCGTTCTAGCATTGAGTCATAAATTCATTACTAATAATGAAACACGTCAATCCATGAAATTCAATTACATGTTAATATTTTAGATTTAAGCAATTAAGTATTTATACTTATTAATGCTTAATTCTTACTTATTAATAATTAATACTTGTATTTATTGATTAAGTATACTTATTAATTAATCGCACATGAATATTTGCTTAATTTCATTGAGCAAATTTTTATGAGCAATTTGCTTGAACCATTAGTCTAATCAAACATTGCATTATTATTATTATGGCATTTTAAATCTGATATCTACTTTTTAAAATTTCGTAAAGAGAATTTTTGTATGTGATTCAGCAATTCTTTATTCTGTTAATATTTGGATTTTAGCACTTGAATTATCATCGATAATTGCATCATTATAAAAATTTGCATTTCAGCACTAGAATCATTAACAAATACATTATTAATAATGTAAAGCATAAAATTTCAATCAATGCACGAAATTCAATTACATGTTAATATTTTAGATTTAAAATAAATATTTAAGAATTAATTATGCAAATTTTTTATATTACCAAGTAAAACACGTATTTTAGCAAAAGAAATATTAATCAATACGTATAATTTCAAATCTGAACTCCATTTTTTAGGATTTAATTAAGTAGATTTTTTCGTCATTCTTAGCCAAATAAAACTTGCTTAATAGAACTTAAATTATATATATTACTCCGCGTGTCTAACATCCCTCTCATATTTTGAAATAGAACTATTTTATTTAAACCTAATTATGCATATATTTCTCCCCGTGGAATACATAATTGACCATATGGGGCAAAATTAATGCAAACTATTTGTGATCATTCAGTCATATCGGCTTAGTTCAACAAAAGCAAGTCACGATATAAAGTCGTTGCCATTATTGTTTTTGAAACTCTAGTCAAGGTAGAAAAGCGTTTCCCTGGACAACAAGATAATAATGAATGCAAAGGGGAAATAGTTTGCAAACGATTTTTCATGCTTTTTATATTTCCTTTGTTAGTCTAGTAGTGATAAATGGTCCGATTACGTTAAATGAAGGCATTAATAACTGAAAGTTGTGTTCTATTTCATTTCTATGTCCAGATCATTTAAAGACAGGAAAACAGAAGACATTGAATATTATTATTTTTTATTCATTAAAATTATGATTTTTTTTTAAAACTAGCAAAGAGGTTTCCTTTTAGTTTATTATGAAACTTCTGTTTAAATTCGGATGAAAAATTTTATAATAAGGGTAGCATTTCAAATTGACGTGTGAAACTATGAGAACAAAAATGGACAAATGTTTAATTTCTACAATTTAAGTTAAGAAATTTATAGCCAATTAAACGTATCAGACATATGAAGCCATTCGTGCAATAGTAGACTAAATTCTAAGAAAAATAAATAAAAAATATGTAAATAGATTTGACATTTCTTTTTTAATTGACTCGCACTTAACTATTGAATTTCGGATATTCCATCTTAATCTAACGATTTTATGTTTCATTTCGCAGTTTAGTGTTTAAATATTTAAATACCAAAAAATTAATAGATAAATAAAACAAAGTAGATATTGTAAAAATTTTCACTGATTTTTTCAAATATGTATAAGAAATTAATGTTATCAGTCTACCATAATATCCACACATATGAATTACAAAATGGATTCTTTCTGTTAAGTAGAAAAATAATCAGGGTTATCAAAGAGTATGGTTTTTATGATATGGTATTTAAAGAGTATGGTATTTAAATTTTAGAACAATAATAACCCCTGAAATAAAGAGAAATTTTGTTAAAAAAACACGGCTTCCTGAAAAGAGAATAATGAATACATAGCTGCTAACGAGGATAGGAAAGAATCCAGTAGATTTCACGAAATAATATAAATTTCATGACAATTGTTGTATGCTGTACTAAATATTTTACACATAGAGAATTTTAGGGATTTTTATAGTCAACAAAATAGAAAAAAATCTCAAGTGCAATCTTGTATGCAATACTTTCCAATTATGATTGACATTAAATGAACTTTAAATGTTACGTATTATGTTTAGTCATAATTTTGATTAGTAATAGGCACTTAATTTATCAAAGATAGTTACATTTTTTTAATTAATTTAAAAAGGGAGTTCTGAATAAGAATAAATTTAATATTTTAGAACAAAAAAAAAGTTTTTAAATTGAATTTTATAAATGAGGCTCGCTTCATTATGTATTCGTAATATTTATATAAATATTCAAGCCAGCAATAATAGGTGAAAAAATTCTATTTCAATAGGGATTTTGTAAGGAAAATTACTCAATTTTAGGGAATTCTCTAAAATGTATAAAAACCAGGAGGATTTTTATTTAACCAGTAAAGCAGGAGAAACTGCCAAAATCCAGTAGTCTACAGGAAAATCCAGTCGAGCTAGCAGCTATGTCAATAAGATTAATAATAAACACGGAGAAGAGATATACAAGGAAACATAAACACGAATTATAGTCACTTAAAATACAAAATTCTACTCACGAAATTGTGGCCTTTTCCGATGTTTGTGCCTTCTTTTACGATACAGTCTGGAGCTGTCGTTGCCTTTGTTGCTCCTGGACTGAGGAAAATGTGAATTAACGTGTCTTTGGAGAACTACTTCCGATCCAAATCGTTGATTGCAACCATCTACAATACATCGAAAAGGCTTGCTTCCACCGTGTAAAAGGATGTGCCTGTCTAGCCAGCTCCGAGAACAAGACGTGCGTTCGAAAACCTGGAAAGACAGGGAATAATGAATTTTGGCCGAAATTGCGCCTTCTATCAAAAGTCCGATGGAACTTAGATGTCCAAGTTGAGATCATTAAACATACCTGCCTTCAAATCGTGCATGAATAGCACAAGAGTGATCGATTGATGGAGGACAAATGATTTAGTTCAGCCGCCATAGCGGGTAGGACACCTCTATAGATTAAAATTGCTTTGGACAGACTCTGATACAAAAGAAAATCATGGGAGTTTAGTTGGGCTAAGAGTCAGTCTTATAAATGTGTATCTTAACTCCATTGATACTTTCCTGACAATGACCATAATGTTCCATAATTTTAATGAAGGGCTAATCATTTGACGCTTTCTTGATAATGTATAAATGTATTATAATTTAAATAAAGGGCTAGCCCATATATACTTCCCTGACAATGTATAAATGTATTATAATTTTAATGAAGGGCTAGTCCATTGACACTTTCCTCACGATACATTGTATAGTTTCGGTATTAAAAAAAGTGTCCCTCTATTGATACTTCTTGGTTACATTATTGATTTTAGATTTGTAATAAAGTGTCCTCCGTCCAAACATAAGATTTTTTTTATTTTTTTTAAGGTATGAGTATAGATAAAATTTGGATCCCTCTGTACGCATAACCCAAAAATACTGTAATTAATTATACTGAGTAAGTTATAATTTATAGGAACGTTTATAAATGACAGTAAGTTCATTATAATTTGGCTAAATTCTTGTTTTCACAAAAACTGAAGGAGCATAAATCTCTACCAGCGCCATCTTGGATTTTAGGTAAAATTTCTATTTTTATTTTCTTGATATTTTTTGGTACTAAACAAACTTTCGGTGATATAATATTAATCAGCACATAAAAATTTTTTTTTAAAAAAACTGAAAATAAAGGTGTAGATTTCTTAGATAAGGAGAAAAGCTTGACAAAATTCTATAACATTTTTCTCAAAACTTTAAAGCAAGAAAAAAACTGCTATTTGCCGTTTTGAATCAGTTATTCAAAACTACATTTGCGAGTTTTTTTTAATTTTTAAACTTTAATTTTATTACTGTTTAAACTAGTGAAAACCAATTTGGATGGTTCTTGGTAACTGGCACAGTAAGATATTTATGAAAAATTTAACAACTGACAAATGAATACTATTTAACTTCCATTCATAAACTACTGATTGCAAGACTGTATTGGTATAATTTTGTCAGAAAAATTAAAATAGAATCTAAATTACTGCACTCTTTAAATCTCAAGTTCTGATTGGATGACGGTCTTGTATTTTACATGCGTCGAAAGATAATGTCAAATAGACTAGAGCAAATATTCATCTTTAGTTTATGAAAATTAAAAATATTAAAAGCATATTCTGGAGAGCTTCTTACTACAATATACTCTCGATATCTGGAACTTCGATATCTCAAAAATATTATATATCCACACCTTGTCAGATCCACATAATATTAATTTGAATTCTTAAGTCGAAGGGTTTCTTTTCAAAACCTTGTTATGTCAAATTTTTTTCGAAATAGAAAATGAATTTTTTCGGAAAAATCACGATGTAAGTTTATTGTAAACCAATTTTTATTTAATGCATAACTATTTGGCCTTACTTTTAAAAATAAAATTATCATTGTTGTATTTAGACTTAAAAGTCGAGTATCATTACAAACATATGTATTAGTAGTTATTCTTATGTTTCCTGACTCTACGTTTTAGAGTAATATTTTAGAATATATATTACATATATTTACTTTTTAAAACAAATTTAGTTCTGAACTTGCTGTCCTCGAAATTTTTTTAGCGCCCCTTAAACTTTGAGAGTATACTGTATAACAGTGTTTCTCAAACTTATGACTTTTGCGTACTCTTTCTAAATTTTTCGTAATGCCGTGTACCACTAATAAAAAAATTGAATACATTTTTCACTATAAAAAAATTGCACGAAAGTCAAAAATCACAACTGGCTGTTGACACCATTAATTATTAACTGTTAACTCTGCGAAGAATAGCCAATAGAAAAATATGTAATCTTCAATTTTCAAGGCTAGCTTTGTTTTTAAATAAAATTTAGTGAAATTTTCGTTTGTTGCAAGATATTTCCCATAAGAACACGTACCAACACTTTGGGAAACACTGCTGTATAACATAATTAAATTTCTTACAAATGAATTAATTTTGTGAGAATTAATGAATAAAAGAAAGTCAATAAAGAAATAAAGCATTCATAACGTCAGTGTTTCAAAACCACTAAACAAGAGATGAATTTATTATTAAACTTCATTCCTGAGTGAAATCTTCATCTTACAAATATTTTATCACCCAGTCAAAAAGAAGAAGAAAAAAGAGATAAACTCAGGTTTTGATATTTTCTAAGCTTTATGCGAGGGTCACTAACCTACTACAAACATAAATTTCGTGGAACGAGAAAGGAAAAAAAAAGATACATTTTATTTCGCTAATCTATCTTTTTCATCCTTGAAACTATGTACACAGAGGGAAATAAGGGCACTGTAAAACTATCTCAAATGACAAGATCTTAAAAAGATCGAGGACGCAGTCCATGAAGATTCTGGAAGTTTTTTCATGTATTACGCCAATTCGACCGGTTTGGTTTCCTAAAAGTCTTTCTTTAATAATCCCGTAGAAAATTATTCAATCTATTAGAGCTGGAAGCTAACCGAAATATAGGATGTAAATTGTTGGAAGCAGTTACAAGAGCCGATTGAATCCAATTTTTTGAAAATAGTAATAATAAGTTGATTAATTAAAGCATTGTTGCATGATATACTAAAAAGATGGATGATTTGTTTAAATAAGTTCTCTAACAATCTTTTTTCCATTATTACTTTTCGTTCTTTTTTCTCTAGGAATTTTTTTTTCATTATTGCGTCAATTCCATCGGTTTGGTTTCCTAAAAACAAAAGTTTATCTTATAAAAGTTCCTCCTTACTTTCTCTTAAAAGTATGGATGGTTTGTTTAAATAAGTTCTCCAACAATCGTAAAAAATAATTAATGGTTTATCATTATTTATTATCCTAAGAAAATTCGATGAAACTCGAAATTATCGGATTTCATTGGCGACGAGTTAAAGTTATATCACGCGATATTATAAAATACATATTTATTACAATTTCACATAAAGAAAAAAATTGTCTACGACAGAAATATAACCTCCTTTTTCCCCCTTCAGACAGAATCGACCGACAAATAGTCGATTTGAGAATTAACATTTTTATTTTGAAGACAACAACTTTTGACGTCAATAATAGAATTTAAAAAGTGTTTTATTTATTTATTTTCCTTTCACTTTGGGCGTCATAGGGCGCCGATTTTTGAGGGGGATAAAATTAAATGACAAAGCCACAATAGTTTTCTAAATTTCACACATAAGAATAAAAAATTCTTAAAAGTGACCAGCAAAAAAATTATTTTTATCTCTTTCTTGTTTTTAACTCGCCCCCATCCCATGCTTTTAAATAGCAATAAATATCAAATACTACAGCCAAACTTCTTCTTAATAATATCGTCGTTACATGTTATATTCGATTACCATAGCTGCCAACATGGATAGGAAAAAATTCAGTAGATTTTACGAAATAATATAAATTTCATGATAATTGTTGCATTATGTACTGAATATTTTATACATAGGGGAATTCTAGGGATTCTTATAGTCATCAAAATAGAAAAATTACAATATTTTCCAGTTATGATTGACAATAAACATACTTGAAATGTTATGTATTGTGTTTACTCATAACTTCGAATATTAATGGGCATTTAATTCATCAAAGATAGTTAAAAGATTTTTTNAAGCAGACCACTTGTGTTGTGAACTAAGATCAAATTTTTTCTTCTCCAATATTTCCAATTCAACGCAAAGACGTTCGAATTTAGAGGGTTATATCTCCTTGTTTTTTAAATCCAGCAATTGTATTTCAGAGCTACCAATGTCAATTTCAAAAGGAGAAAATTTCAACTCGGTTATCGCAGCATTAAGAGGATTTTTGACAAATGCTAAAGTTACTCTGCTGTTTTTAAATTCCTGAAACCTGCTGAGAAATGCTTCCCCCCTCATATTTAAAATTATTGTTTTAAAATGGTGTTTATCAATAGAGGAATTATTTTCTTGGCGATGCTTCAGCAGGCTCGGAAAGTGAAACAACGTGTCCCTTTCAAAATCAAAAACTTTTTAATAAGACAGGACAACGGTAGATAAAACAAAACTGTTCACACTGCAACTGCTTGTCTGTGATGCCAATATGTACCTTCACTACTTTAACTTTAGAAAAAATATGGGCGCGCATGCTTGTGGTACCTTTGAATCACACCGGAGTACACCGAAAACATACGAAAAATTTCAGCCGGTAGTTGGTACATGATTTGTGTTTACGTTTACGAAAACTAATAAAATTAAACTCGATGTCCGTTACTTATTTTTACAACAATATAAAATTTTAATTACCTATCGATCTTTTAACTTAAACAAAACATTATACATGTTCTCGATTTATAGAAGAATTTTAATTTATCAAAATAAGATGTGATTTTTTTCTTACCAAGTTTTTTTTTTAAATGAAAATATTATTGCCCCTTCCGTGGATATTTGTGCCAGAGCCGCACTTCAGGAGCCAAAGAGCCACATGCGGCTCTGGAGCCGCACTTTGCCGACCACTGTGCTATACTATAGTGCTACATACATTTTTCACTAAAAAAGCCAAATTTCTGTATAAATTATAGCTGCATTTTTTATGAAACTAATTTTAAACATACATTACCACGTGTGTTCTTAATTTTAATTAATACTGATAAAATCCCTTAATTTTGTCTGAGTTTTTCGTTTGAAATGCAAACGAAAAGGGAGTTTACTGCTTTCTTTACAAGTTTGGATTCGAAAATCAACTCAAGGTCATTTCCTCCATAAAATGAGTTAACAAGTCTAAAATTTTCTGAAATATGGGAAATAGGGAAAGTGGATTTCAAAAAAAACTTCGTTAAGTAGAAAATTCGCTTCGCTATTTGGAAATTATTTTACGAAGAAATTGCTAAAACGTTCTTGGTTCCTCAAAAAAAAATAGCAAAATAGAGAAATTCGCAAAATGGAAGTTCGTTAAATAGAAGTCCAACTGTACTACAACCAAGTTTCTTCTTAATAATATGGTCGTTACATGTTATATTCGATTACCATAGCTGCCAACAGGGATAGGAAAAAATCCAGTAGATTTCACGAAATAATATAAATTTCATGATAATTGTTGCATTATGTACTGAATATTTTATACATAGGGGAATTCTAGGGATTTTTTTTTCAAAATATCAAAATAGAAAAATTACAATATTTTCCAGTTATGATTGACAATAAACATACTTGAAATGTTATGTATTGTGTTTACTCATAACTTCGAATATTAATGGGCATTTAATTCATCAAAGATAGTTAAAAGATTTTTTTCAATTAATTTAAAAAGTGAGTTCTGAATAAAAATAAACTGAACATTTTAGATCAAAAAAGTTTTGAACTGATTTCTATAAATGAGATTTGCTTCATTATGTATTAGTAATACTTATTGCAATATTCTAGCAAGTAATAATCTGTACAAAAATTACATTTACATAGAGAATTCTTTAGGAAACTTACTCAATTTTAGAGAATTTTCTAAAATGTACAAAAACTAGAAGAATTTTAATTAAACCAGTAGACCAAGAGAAACTGGCAAAATCCAGTAGAGTTGGCAGCTATGGATTACAAACATGAAACATGTATTTACTCTGTAAAAGATAATTCCAATGAAGAAACATCTATAAACAGCTTTATGACGATCCTATATTAAAATCAAACGTTTTTCAGGTATGTGGATATTTGGAAGTTGATTTTCTGAAATCCTCTTAAATGTTACTGAAAATGACTTACAGAATTAATATTTAAATTTAAAAAAGAAAAAAAAATACTAGAGTGTACTGAAATGGTTTGGTTCGAATGAATATTTTAACAACAACAAAAAAAAAGGTCAGTATTCCTATATTCAGAAAATAATAGGAAGGCCTGTTGTCAAGGAATTACTTCCTTTTAATTGTAACAGAACAACACAGCTAAATATTTTCAACATCAATCGCTACAGCTATTCTTTTGGAAGAGACTGTCAATTAAATATTTACAACCACTGTAAGCTCTTTTGAAAACATTAAAAATATACAAAGTATGGAGCTGACCCTGTAAAGTGAATTAAATGGATAAAATACTTGCCTTGCATCCAATCCACAAACAAGTAAAAGTATTATTTTCCTCCAACTGATTCTGCACATGGCACTCGCGAATATGGTCTAAAATGTCTATGGCAGTGTTGGCATCCGCGGAGGACCATGTACAGTTCAACCATTTACACTCCCCATCGTCCACTGGGCTCGCCCCAGACACACTCTGTTGGTCAACACTCCCCACCTGACTACAGTTCGAGGACGTACAGTCACTATTCAGTTCATGGCAAACACTGCGACTGTTGTCCTCACTGTGACTGTTACTTTCTTCAGTATAGCCACTGAAGTCCGACCTGATGAGGACCACTTTAGGATTTAGGTGAGCCTTCTGTACAAAATGGTGGTCCTCTTCGGTCAAGTTTAACCCGTTGTTGCTCTTGATGCATTCGGCTTTGGTGAAAGGCATCTGGAAAGAATCCTCATCCCGGCAAGCCTGCTCGCCGAAGAACGAGGAAGTATTGTTGTCATTGTCCACTGAGTGGTCATCCACTTCGATTGAAGGGAACTGAGGAGGAGTGACCTCTTCGTGGCAATTGAGGACACAGAAACCATCAGTCCTGGTTTGATTATTACTATTTACACAATTGTTCGACGATGATAACAGGAACTGAAAACTAGAGCCGTTTGGCAGTTTAGGACTTTGTGGAATGGCTGGTTTTCCTGCGAGGGGAAGGCAGAAGTGTTCGAAGTGGTCATCCTCGTGGAGAGCCGCTTCGGGTGAGTTCGACACATAGCCTTTCTCTTCGGACTCGTAACTATTATCGGTCCTAGGACTAAGGTCCAGCAAGGAATCGGAGCGGTCATCCTCTTCTTCATCTTCACACCGACCGAACTGGATGGGAGATATCGATCCCTCTGGAGAGGTAGGGTTGACCAAGGACTTGGCAGGACTAGGCCCCAGGCCGCTGTCCTCACTGTCCGCTCGTAGGCACTCATATGGGCAGTGTTGGGTAGGCACTGGAGGCATGGATTGTGGAGTGATGGGCCGCGACGGTGAGCTTGGCTCACTGGCAATGTCGCTGGCCGAGCTGCTTGATTGACAGGATTCACCGCTACTCGTTATCACCACACTGGAAACAAAAAAACATTTATTAGTGGATCACTCTTGTATTCATATTCAAAACTCGAATTTAGTGTATAAACAAGTCAGCAAAACAAAAACTCAAATTTAGTGCATAAATAAGTCAGCACAACAAACTGATTTTAACTTATGAAGTACACATTATCAAATAACATAGAAATTTTAAATTTAAAAAAACTCCAGATTTTCAAAAAGAATTAAAACGAATTTTAGATAACCACTTAATAAAAAAGTTATATTAGTATCATTTACAAAATATATTATTCCAGCGCTTTTGACCAAAAAAAATAAATAAATAAATAACCTTAACTCACTACTCATTATTAACAGTTCAAGTACAGAAAATCAAAGAATCTTACTTTAATAAGAAAGATTAAAAGTTCCTAATTCATCAAAAAAATATACACCACTAACAGAATAGAATATGCCTGATCTTCTAGGTTTTTCGATTTCGACATATTGTTACTAATTGTTTCTGTGACGTATTTATTCTTCACTAACGATGCGACGCATACTATTAGTCAGCTAGTTCATTGTATCCAGAATTCATTCAAGTGAGAATAAATAACATATACACTTGCGAAATAATCATTGCATCACAGAAATGATGGTAATCTAAAACAAAGAAAGGACAAAGCACCTTTCTAAATTTAAGCAACCGATTGCTTAATATTAAGTCTTTAAATTGTTCCGTCATTCTAAAAAATATCCTATATTTAAAATTATTTTAATTAAAATTTTTAAAAATGCTTGATATGAGTAAAAAATCGTTTTAAAATTGTTAGCAGTGACTTCGAATCATATTTTCGGTGTCTAAAAGACAGATAAGCTCTAATCACAACAAAATAGTACTTTATAAATCAATGTCCAAAAAACTAATAAATGAAATAAATACTGAGTATTTATTTCGCGTTTTCATATTGAAAACAAGAATCTAAGTTTAAAATTATAAAATAGTTCTTTGGTACAATTCTCTTAAAAGAAAACGACTTTGGTTCTGATTTCAAAAATATGCAATCTGGTAAAGAATTTTAACTGCCGTTTCGTTACACAAAAAAGCAATTTATTTGAGGGAGAAAAAAAAAAACAATATAATTTTAAAATAATATTCGAATAAACCAAGCAAAATTAAACTTCTTAACTTCGCTGAAATGAATAATTATTTCTTCATCTCCTTAACAACAAACGATCCAACTTCACATGGACTAAGTAAAAATAAATTTCTTTTACAGAAAATATTCATACAATATCCGACATCGGTACACATAGTTGGGATAAAATGTTTAATTGCATATTGCTTTATTACACAAATAGCAATTAATTTCAATAAATTATGTAAAGCATAAAATTACTTGTAACATCACGTTTATAAGTTCGCCAAAGTTGCGTTGAAGAATTTTTACAATTTCTTAAAAAAAAGTGCAAACGATTTCAGCGTCACATAATCCTTTTTCAAAACTGGCAATACCGTTTGAAGAAATGAGTTCTCTCAGAATGAAAGCAGCGGGAGAAAGTAGATTTTGGTGCGGAGAAGGAACGGAGAAATGTACGGCGTTTGACCGGTCAAGTGTCTGTTATTTCCAGACATAGGCGAGACGATAAAGGAGAGATGAACAACACACGTCCTCCTCCCGATTCAACAGTGCGTGGAACTGATGGGTATTATGCAGAGCGACTGTTTACCGGTAAAATGATTAGGTGGGAATGAAATAAAAAAAAAAGAAAGAAAAGAAAAATCACACAAAGAAGCAAATGCAAATGATTCTCCGGAAAGTGAGATTGAGAAGGTGTTTTTCTTTTTAGCTTTTTGAATTAATACGGTCAATCACACGTAAATAGTAGTGTGTTTACTGAGAAATGGTATTTTGGCGAATTCTGGAAGGATTGCGGCATTACTTGTTTTTAACCTTGTACTGTTTTTATTTATATTGAATGTAGAAGCACTGTATTAGGTATATTTGCGAGTTTAAAAGATAAATTAGCAACAATGATAGTTGTTGAGGGCGTCTGTATAAAATATAAGGCCACGAAGCTTTAATTTGACTTCGTCATCTTGTGTTGCTTTTGTTTGTACTGCATCTCATAAATTTGATGGTTTAGATTAGGGGTGCACAACCTGCGGNGTCATCTTGTGTTGCTTTTGTTTGTACTGCATCTCATAAATTTGATGGTTTAGATGGATTAAAATACACTGTATATGTACTGCATACTTGATGATTTAAAAAATAAATTAGCAACAGTGAATAGTTGTTGAAAGCGTTTGTATAAAATATAAGGCCACGATGCAATTTATCTTCGTCGTGTTGCTTTTGTTTATACTGTATGCAGTTGTACCATCGCAATTTCAATTTGCCCTTGCCGTCTTGTACTTTTGATACTGTAAGCAACTGTACTGCAATTTATATATCTAATAGTTTGAAATATAAATTAACAACAACGACAGTTGTTAAAGAAAGTAGTAACTATGCTGCACTGAAAATATGAATAGCTGATAGTTTTAGATAAAATTATAACGATTAAATTTGTCGAGAAAGTTAGTGAAACGCGTAACCGACCAAAATCTTAAAAGTGACAAGACTAAGGCATACCTCTTTAATTATGCCTAAGTTATATGTAAGATATAAAATAACTCATATACTTGCTATTTTTCTATTAGAAACCAAATAAACCTTTTTTTTTTCTTCCAAAAATTTGTTAAGTCATTTTTTTTAAAGAATATATTGAACTTTATAGGTACCTCAAATCAAAATTAATTCATTTCCCTGATTTTGTGGTTGTTTTAAATTAACTCTCTAAATTTTCCAGATTGATAAATTTCCCTAGGTTAGCAATAATTTTGAATATTCAACCGCAAAACGAAGATCTTGAAGACACATTTATGACCAAAAGACCAAGAATATAAACAAAGTAATATAGATATTTATATTGATTGTAACGCTTATCCATGAACTTTTATCAGTTTATAGCAATTAAATGCAAATCGAAAGACGTCACAATAAATGTCGATGATGTATGCATTTAAAAAAACAAATAATCCAAATATTCAAGATTATTCATCTAAAATGACAGACAGATGAGAAAAATAGATAAAATTTCATTTCCTTAAACAATCTCTCGCGTGTACTTTCCAGAAAAAAGAAGACTATTAAACATCAGAAGACTTCATCAAGATGAAAAGAGCAAAGAAAAAACACCGCATCTCGTATATTAAATGCGAAGGAATAAGCTCTCCCGCAAAGTTTACAGAAAATAAACAAAGAAGGTCGCCAAAAATAATATGCCAGCTGTGATTAAAAGTGAAAACAGCGTCTTAGGACTATGTTCTAAACTAATCCGGGTGGGGTATTTTTTCTCTCTCCATCCAAACGAATATTATCTCAACATTTTCCACTTTTTTAGCAACCCTGTCAGTAGTTATCATGCTGGGTTAAAAGAAGTGGTCGGAAGTAGCGAAACTACTGCAGTCGATACTTTTTTCCGTAGTTTGTAGTGTAGTGCGATACAAAAAAAAAATTAGTTTGTAGCGATTCCTGGCAACTAATTTTAACGTTAGTTAAATAACGAAGCAAAGTTCAAACTCAAAATTTTTTTTGAATCCGATTGGTGCATATCTATCTTTCGCAGACCCGTCAACGTACACAATGAGACGGCCTCTGTGGCCAAGCGTTAATAAGATCTACGTCCGATGCTCGGACAAATCGGTGTGAAATGGGTCGAGTGGTTCCTAAAAAATCGAATTTTAAATATCTGACCTTTAAATTCATATTAAATGTCTCACTTTTTGTGTCGGATTTCGTAACTTAAAATATCGTCTGCATTAACTAATTAGTATATTTGAAGTCACCCCTATGAAACCATTAAGAAGAACGTGAAGATACGATCATGAGATCAAAAGTTATCCAGGGTGGCCCGTTTTTTGTTTGTCGCACTTTTCTTTATTTCTCGGAGGATATAAAAAATTTTTTTTCAAAAAAAACATTGATCACTTAAATTACAAATATTCGATAATTTCCTAGCATTTAAATCACTGTCGTGAAAAGTGTAGAGTTTTAAAGTTAAAAGAACAAATTTGTTAAAAAGTGCTTACTATTAATCCTTACTATATGGCTCAAAAACAAACAGAATTAAAAGGACAAAAAATTTGGTTAGTACATTTATACTGGCGTAACATCATACCACGAAAAACTTTCATATGTATTTTGATGGCTGGCTAATGCCATCGCTAATTGACCCCAGTTTTAGGGGCGATTGTGCTATTTTTAAAAGACTTTTCTGCCCTCAACTAAACCTCTAAATATGCTTTTAATCCCCCGCATTTAATTTTCACAAACGAATTTTCACGAAACGAATTTTCGATACATGCAAAGTAACAAGGCCGTCATCCAAACACAACTTGAGATATAAAACGTGCGGTAATTTAGATTCTTTTTTAATTTACCAAATTATACCAATTCAGTTTTGCAATATAGTTAAATAGTATACGTTCGTCTGTTTTTAAATTTTTCATAAATATCATGGTTTTCGCACAATTTTCGTTATAAGAATCATCCAAATTGGTTTTCATGAGTTTAAACTGGAATAAAATTAAATTTTTAAAAAAATCTAAATATTAACGAATGTCTAATTTTTAATTACCGATTCAGGACCACAATTTGTAGGGTTTTTTTTTAAAATTGCTTTAGGAATTTGAGGAAAATTTCACAGTAGTTCAAAAAATTATTAAGCGCTATTTCTTCTCATCTAATTAAGCGACCCCTTTGTTTTCCGTTTTTTTTTTCTAAAGATGCTCTGCTTCTAAAGATCTGCCGAATAATACTATATCATTAAAAAATGTTTAGTACCAAAAAAAATCAAGAAAACGAAAATCAACTTATGTACCTCGTAACAGATCGCGTAGCAGTATATTTTTAGAAAATCGAATTTCTAAACAGTCACAAATTGTATGAAAAACAATATTATTATTAGGGAGCTAAGCGCCCTGTTCGCTGA